ATCTGTGAACCGTCAGTCGCACTACAGGGTGTCCCATAAGTTCGTTCTCACATTATATTTGCATGTGAAACAGAGTACATTGCGTTTCGATATATTTATGACCCCTCAATGTGCTCCCCATTTGATAGGCAAACACATGAATACATGCTGCGGCATGCCAACCGGCATGTTTGGTTGCATAGCAGGCTTAAAGTTAACCCAGACTGGCTTGACATGCGCCGTGAGCTCCTCGAGGCTGGAACAGCGCTACGCTTCGACGAGCCTAAATTTCAGCATAACCAACACATATTTATAAAATTTTGATCCGATGAGGTGCCTGGCATGTGATCTTGCCACAAACGCCTGTTACAGTCTCCTTGCACCGCTTTTAAGCTTTGCTTGACATGTGCACCGATGCACTGTCTTGCCTGAAGATGGGCCTACGACCTCCCGGATGCCATTTTCTCCTCTATAAATGTGTTCATACTCACGGTTCGAGTTCAGCTTGAGGGCTGAAACTCCTCCCAGATGTTCTTGGAAAAGCATTATGCTTCCCAAAGCTGTTTCTGGAACACCAATCGCAACCTGGTCAGCGTCTGGACGCCTATAACCCCACAATACTGCGACCCTGGCCTTTTGCATAGGAACATAACGGGACGAAACGGAGGCCTCCTCTTTCGCCCTTAGGGGTTGTTTTCGGGTTTGGACGGGTGTTTCATCTCGAACGTGGACTAGTTAGTCCAGATGACCTGGTTGATGTCATCAGCCCTCTAGTCTTTTTAGCCTCAGGCATAACGAAACCCATGTTTGGCCATTTTAAGACGTTTTTGACTGTTTTGAGCCCTCCAGTAAGCAAAGCTTAAGTCACCTTGAGTAAAGTACCCCGAAAGAACACTCTTAGACAGCTGGTAATCCATCCTGAAAAGTCTGCTTGCCAACTTTCTAGCCCTTTGACCTTTTTGATGGCCACTTTGGCGCCACACAGTTTTGGCCACTTGGTTTACTCCTGAGGGCTGACTGGAAAGAGGATAAACTTGCAGTGATTGACTCCCGACAAATCATCGGCGTCACTTGCTGACTGTGCGTCCAGTTAGCGATGGACATTGTCTACAGACTGGTAAGCCTCAATCACCCTCAATCGTCGCGAATGGTCACGTGCTGACTAAATACCGAGACGTACCCGTATCGGAGACCTCTATGTTGCGGCGTTAGCCGTCTCTGTAGGAAACGGGCTCTCTAGCAAAAACTATTTTGTCTACAGAAATTAGTTACTGTGGAGCATATTTCTACCAGCCATGGCAACCACGTAAGCTCAGTTACGAACCAATTTCAGCGTGCCTTTAAGTAAGAGAGCCTAAAACCGTAAAAATTTAGGTGAGAACGAACTTATGGGACACCCTGTAAAGAGATCCAGCTATGCCTGCTAAACGCTGCTTATCGCATTAGTCAAGCCTTCATATATGTATATGGAATGACACGACATGACATGAACACGAAATCTGACTTAGTGAACGCGGCTTATCACGTTGGTCACGTCTTCTGAGAATGCCGCATCTTCCGACGACCACGATCACGAGATTGGTGCGTGCTGCCAGGCACAGCCGGCCGGTGTTCGGACGTAGGCCGGCGCAGCACGGTCAGGGCCGCACGTGGGATACACGTGGGCGGGACCGCCGTGCCGCGAACGGAAGGGACGATTGAAAGGAACAGGCTGTTGCAACCACAGGGCGACGATCGCCCAAATCGGCTCCAACCAGCTAAGGGCTCTTCTATAGAGCTATGTGATGCAGATACGCGGTTCCAGCTGTTGACCCAGGACACTGAACCGCGGCAGTGCGCACGTCTCCCCCGGGAACATCTCCGACGGGCCGCTGCTCAGTCACCGAGTGTCGCCGTGTCATCTACATCGTCCCCGGACAATGCAACTGAACCCTCTACCTGACTGGGAGAGCGGGGAGAGCAACAGACGGCGACCCCAGGTAACAGTTTGAGCGACCAACCACGTTACACCCGGTGGAAGACGCCTCGTTGTTGTCCTGCCATCCCACCGATTTTACGCGGCTTGTGATCCCTAGTCACATTGGCCGCTACTGGAATAGTGTACCTATGGCATGGCGCAGTCAGCGGATGCCTCGCACGCTTCGCCGCGCCATCGGAAACGTCAAACTGGCTGCTACGATGACTCGCATGAATCAATGACATTGATAATTCCGTATTTACTACACGCTTCGACTGAAGAATGCGTAAACATGCAGTAAGCCAAGTATAACTGTTTGACAAGTAAGATCGATATTGTAAACCATCGAACACGGTTCTACAGGCACAAACGTTTCACATGACACGGACATATACCCGTTCATCATTCGAGATACCCGCACCCGGCTTCACAGAGGTTCGTGGAAAGAGAATCGCATGATTCATTGAAGCTTATGAAGAGCCTGCCGTTTGAAAGAGTGATAACCTGGATTGAAAAAAAAAACAAGCAAAAAAAAACGGTGAATTGTGTGCCGTGCCTGTTCCTTGTACTGGATAGCTACTGTAGAGGGTTTGCCGTGGGCGCGTCTTGGTGTTGGTGGCTCGCCTCGGACCTCAGATTGTTGCTCTTGTTCAAACGGACGACAGCTGACGCTGCGTAGTGCGTGCTCGTGCTTGTGGTCCCCCATTGTTCACTGCCACGGGTCGGAGTGGCGTCATTTGTCCTCGCAGTCCCCTTCGTGCGGCAGACAAAGAGGCGTCCTGTTACCTCTGTTGATGTCGGATCAGTTGATGCCAGTTCAGCGTCTTTTACCCGTATCTCATTGTTGGTGCTTCGTCATCGGCGGGCCCGAGCTGGTCATGTGAGCTGTGTCGGGTCGGGTTATTCAGGGGTCGGTCACCGTCTGATGGGCCACTAACAGCGCTGGGAGCAGGTCAGAGTGTATTGACGATCAAGAGCAATCCACAATCGGCGTGGCGATTACACTCCGAGTCCGAGCTGGTTGAAGATAACACAAGAAATAGGTATCTACACAAGAAAACGCACACACTTACGGATACGAAATACACAACGCGAACGCCGAACACGCACATACTTGGTGAAACCCGCACGAAGCCGCGTTCATAACTATGTACACACAGACTCGTTTGCCTTTCATAGTCCAAGAGTCATGAGGCTAGCTACTATGGCTACTCTGGCTAGGCTTAAGCCCCTTTTTTACAGCACGGGCAAATCTGGCTGGAGGCAACTGCGTTAGCACGAGGGGGAGAGTATTTAGGAGCGCCGCGGCACGGTAGGCGAATCTACGTTTTCCGGTCTCTAGTCGGGGTCGCGGTAAGTGAAAAAGGTGGTCTTGGCGAGTAGACCTTGCTCGTGTTTGGGAATTTTTGGAAAATAGGGTCGCGATCTCCTCGGGTTCACCTCTCTGGATGGCCTTGTGCGCCGTGATAAGGGTATGGTATTCAGCCATTGTTTTAGGTGCCATCCAGCCGAGTTGGTCCCGGAGATGGGAGATATGATCAAATTTACGGCGACCGAAAATGACTCTAGCGGCAAAGTTAAGAATTTTCTGAATGCGATCGAAGTTCTTTTGGCTACCATTACCAAATACGGAGAGACAGTACTGGATCCGTGACATGACGAGAGCCACCACTAGTGTCTTGGTGACACCGTCGGGGAGATAGTGGCGGACATGGGAGAGGCCAATTAGGAGACCCGTGCATCGGCGACTGAGCTCGGACACATGCGCGTCCCAGGACAGGGTGCCGTCGAAGATAACGCCCAGGTTGCCCACCTGCTTGCATGGCACTAGTTTGGTGTCGCGAAAAGAAACGGTGAAAGCAGGTATGCTTCTCAAATTTTGCCGACTGCCGAAAACCATGAGCTGAGTTTTAGCAGTGTTTACTTTAAGAGCATTTGCACTGAACCAATGGTCGAGAGACGCCAGTGACGCTTCCAAGCGCGAGATGAGTCCCCTAAGGTCGTTTAAAGGGCCACTCACCAACAATTGAGTATCATCAGCGTACTGGAAGACTGCTGCATCCTCAGAATAAAGTGATAGATCATTGGAAAATACCGTGAAGAGTAAGGGACCGAGTGCCGAGCCTTGAAAGACGCCCATAGAGTTGGGGAGAGGTTGTGATAATACCCGGCGACCGGACTCGTCCTTCAATGACACACTCTGTGTGTGACCCTGGAGATAAGCGGCGAACCAGGATGTCTCTATGCCGTGCATTGCCAATTTAGCGAGTAATAACTCATGGTTGATGACATCAAAACATTTGCTTAAATCAATAAGGCATAGCATAGAGACATCCCCCCTATCGGTGGCGGCCAGGATTTGGTCACTGACGGACAGAAGTGGTGTAGACAGAGTGGTGTAGGTGAAGGGAAGAAGGCCTCGAGAACGTTTCGGGGGCAGGTGTAGGTGGGGCATTATCATAATTTTCATCATCTTCGTCCTCATGCACTTAAGTTTTCTTACATTTTGTGGACTTGTCGTCAGTTAAACATGTTCAGAGCCGGTTGAGAGACAAGCCGTCTATTATAGGATGTCCCCGAAGTCGCCGAGACAAAAGTTATGGACGAACCTGATGGTTCGCCGAAGCCCAAGATCACTAAGAAGTGGGTGAAAGTCAAGGTCATTGTATCCATTCTGGCTGAGCCATTAGGATGCGAATTGAGTTTATTATTATTCCGGGGGAGCGAGGACGCCGCAGAAAACAGCGAAATCAGCTCTGCCCATGTGAGGGGAGCAGGTTTTCGCTACAAACAAGACCATAAAAACGGACCCGGATCTATAGAATCTTGTTCGGGTCATCCTAACCAGCTTTGCGAACATGTTCGCGTATGCTGTTTGAAACAGGCTATATGGCGGCGACAGTCATCATGGTCATCATTTCCCCACCACTAACAGCCGTTCTGTTCCAGTAACGCCCCATGACAGGACCGTGTGCCATCCCATCTCATTACACCGCCAGTGTTGCAGTGGTGATGTGCAGTGTCACCGTCTGCCCTCCGCCTGACCCGCACCGTTCTGTTGCAGCGCCCGGACGCCCGTTACCGTCACCTCCGCCGCCGTCGGCGGTCCCAGCCCGGAGGACGCCGGTGTGCGCTTTGTGCGCGAGGGCGCCAACCTGCTGCTGAACCTGGCCGGCGTGCCCGTGTCGAGTGCCGCCTCCCCGGCGGTACGTACCATCACACTGCGCCGCGGCGTGGGCCGGCCGCCGGGCTCTCGCGGCCGCGGTCGAGGCCGAGGCCGGGGCACCGCCGTCCGATTGACCCCCGGCGTCCTCCGGTAGCGCCGCCCCGGTCAGACCGAGTAGTGGTCTCTGGACGAGTGTGTGACGCGCGGAGTCGGTTTGTTACCTGTGTAGTGGGTAGAGGTCCTGTAGTCACTGGATGTACCTTTCGGCCGGCGGCGCGAGTTTTATCCGGCCCCGCCGTACAGCGTATGTAGTATCCCGCCGCGGCGCGGTCCCGGAACCGAGCGCGCCGGCGGCCTGTACAAAGCCGTGATCTTGCGTAGTGCTGGTGCCGGCTGACCCGGTCGGCCGGCTGGCGGTGTTCGGTCGCTGCTCTGCTCTCTGCGCTATGTATGGCGTGTGTGAGCGGCCGGCGGAGTTGTACCGCGGCGAGTGATCAGTGATGGTGTGCTCTCCGTGTCTCCGAGCGGGGCACGGCGTTATGAGCTCACTGAGCCGTGTGAATGAGCTATGTATCGCACCGTTTCACCGTTCGGTATCGTTTGTATGGACTTGGCGTTGATGTGATGAGCAACAAAGCTACTGCTGACTGTTGGTGTTCTGTTTGAGTCCCATGTTCTGTGGAATGCCGAAGACCATAAAAGACTGCGCACGAATTACATTCCAAATCGACGAGAACTTTCCGCGCACCGTAAACTTCTAGCCTATCAATACCTACCCCCACGCTGCGCACTTAAACCGAACCCGGTGCTCTTAACCCGACTACGGGTTGTGATCCCATCGACAATCGCCGCGTGACAGGAACCTAGCTCGAGCCAGCAGAGAAGAGAGCAGTCGGGACTCGACGTCTGCACCAGTTGGCGACCAGACACCCAGAGCCACGATTCCCTCTCTTTTGCTCTCGCTTCGCAACTCGCCCGAGTTGGCCACGCCCACATCAGGCCTCGAGAGGCTCAGAATTGATGATGTGCTAGTGTATTTCCCACCACGCTTGCTCTTTTTTATCCCAGCCCGCATACCGTAATAAATCTCCCCCGGCCCCAACACCCCACGCATACGTTTCCATGGAGCCATAAGTTAGGCTACCTGCCTCCATTTTTATCCAGTTTTACATTTCGACGCGACAAAAAAAAAATGAATAGAAGAATGCGGCGGAGTCGACCTCTGCTCCCCCCCCCCCCCCCACACACACAGTATCCACGCTCGCTCCGCACCCCCTGCCGCGTGGTCTGACGCGTCTTCACCGGGTGATTGCGGCGCTTTGCACGGGACGCTCCCCTACAGGGCCTAACGTAGCACACCTGGATGGGATTCTGACGCTGAGTCCCATAATAAGTGCCCACTGCGGTTTTATACTTGCAGGAGGCCGATACGCCCTGTCACCCAATTTGAGGCTCAACCAATCAGGCGATAGCAACGCACAGTTCCGACTACGCTGGCCTCCTTCCCACCCGTACCCGTCTCTCAAACGCCAAACAACATGCCCAAAATCTAGCTCAACGTCGCTCAGCGTCAGAAATGTCCCGGCAACAGTCATGTGCCGTCGATTCGTCGGCGGCGTTGATTCGCAGAAGCCTTCAGATGTCGTTCAATAGTTTCAAAACACAAGCCAATAGCGGGTGGCGATGTCCATAGTCTAAGTACCCCACTCTAATGTTATTCAAAACAAATGCCAATAACGGGCCGCTACCGTTTTACGCCGGTCACCCCACAACGATGCCGTCATGATACACAAAGTGGGACGCTCGCTTCTTGCAAGGCACCCGGACGGTCTGGATAGCATTATAATCTTCCAAGCTGTCACACTCGGCGCCGGCAGGCGGCAGGTCGGAAAGGGGCGTGGCTCAGGAGCACCGAGCGGTTGTAAGAACAGTGTGAAGTGTGAACAGCTGTATGCTAAGAAAATGAAATCGGGCTACCTAAATGTTACACCGCCAAACACATAAATTGTTTTCCCCGTCAGCTTGTCCAAAACCTGGAGCCACCGAACTTTTCCGGGCTCCCTGACTAGACTCCCGTCCTCCCCAGCACTTCGCCCGGACTCACGCTCTCCGCACGCCGGCGGATCCCTTTTACCCATCTTTTACCCCACGACACAACTTATCCCGCCCTGGGGAGGGGACTATAGCATCGAAACTGCCCCTTGCATTGGCTAAGCGAAGCCAATCAGCCGACCCGTGGAATAACAGCCGACTCGCAATTATTCAACTATTTCATAACAAGTGAACGACCCCGACCCCACGGGACGGTCCGCCGCGCCATCCAGCCCCCACCCCGGGGCTCGCTTCAGATGATGGCCCTGCCGATGATGAGCCGCGTCTGAGGCGACCCAGCCCGGGCGGCCGCAGGGTAATGGCCTTCCTAAGATTCATAGGTGTACGCTGTGAGCCGTCCCACGCAGTCATCTATCACTACGGATAATTGTGTGTACCGACGGCCGCTAACCACAGAATACGCAAGACGTGAGATGAAGGAAGGCGGCAGTCGCCTACGGGGGGAAAGTGCCTACATTACCCGGAGTGATACCTTAGCCCTCGAGGCGCGCCACGTACGCTCACTCAAACTCACTAGTTTGCCGGTCAAAAAGGTATATTTTCCGTCAAAAACACAATCATCAGCCATGCGCACTGCGCAGTGATTACACTGTAGTGAACGTCATGCATGGTATGTGCTTCACATAGTGGCACAGGTGTTCGTGCCCATACCTTATCTCATCCGGCTCGTCATAACCTCCTTCAGTACAAAAGACAGTGTCTTCCATTAGACACATCTCAGCAGACAGTCAGACAGAGAGACACATACCCGACAGCGCATCTCAGTCCGCGCCATACACACCACGGCATGACGGGCAGCGGGGGAGCTGGGGGCGCCCCTCCTCTCTCCCGACGGGCCTGGCCCCAGCGTTGTCTCCCGCTCTATCGGGTACGTCCGCGGTACGCGGTGTACGTACACGGTACACGGTACACGCGGACTAAAGAAGTGGTACACTGAGCGTGAAGCCCGGACGGCTTTGGACGACCGGAGCAGCCGGGGGCCGCTCGGTCGCCCATCGACGGATACAGTCCAAATAACGCCCGACACGTGCTAGACGGTCATTGGAACAGTAACTTACAAACTAAGCTTATGTTATAATACATACTAAGGTATTATGTACTTACACTAGGCTAACTTATTATACTCTAGATTATGTGGCTGGTACTATGAGCGCAATTAGTAAGAGTTGTCAGCGCTGTGCAGTGCAATGCGACATGCTTATTGCTTCGTGCGTTGCAATTAAACATCACGTGGTGAAAACATGTTTGCATTGTTAGTTAACGTGCATGCGCCTTACTTATCCTCAAATATCCCATCACCCAAGAATTCTTAGCAACATCCGCCAAACAAGCTAACGACAGCGCATAATAAAATATGCAACTAAGCACGAGAGTCGCCAACTACACCTAAGTTTACGGCATGCTTTCTGCTCCCGACACCAGAGTATCGACGAGGAAACGCTATCGTACAAAAGCGATTAAAAATAGCCTTATCTAATTTCCCTTTAAAGTACTTATATCCACTAATACCACCACCCTTACAATGCTCTATGAATACACAACTACGGCTCTATGGATACACAACTTATTGGTTCTCTTCGGCACTATGCTGAAAAAAGAACAAAATTCCCCGTAACTCGAGAGGAATTAAGTGCATAGGCATGCGCATTTAAATACAAAATACACAGACAGCACATTATATTCGGTGCAATGGAGCACTCGATAATGCGACTGTGTTGCTTGATGCTTCCAGCCCCGGCAACAGCCGACACCTGCAACCATTGCTCTCCGCGTTCCCGAGGTTTCGCCAGTCCAGTGGAGGAACCGTGACACTCTGTACACCATCCCCATGGCCAGTGCGGTTAGTGAGTGAGGATTCTTCCGGGCCTTTCGATCGGAACTAGAGTGAAAACACCCCAGAGGGTTCATTCAGACCAGCATCACGTCAGCACACGCGGTGCATATACCCTTGCGCGGTGCATAGCCGGAAATCCGGTACTCCAGTACCGAACTAGCCGGAACTGCATGCGGACTACATAGGGAACAACCTGGATCTATCTCAAACCAGGAGCCACCTCACGGAGACACTGATCCATCTCAGACCGCAGGGCTGTCCCGGGAGACAATTTATTCAATAAAGAGCTTTTCGTGTGCTGAGGTGGATGCTTGTGCCACTGGTCTGGCACAATTTGTTCGTTCTGACGGACCAGCGATTATGGAGCCAGTCAGATGCAAGGTTTAGTCAACTAACGGATTGTGAGCCCACAACTCCATTGGAAATACATGATTTATCTGCACAGCAGCTCTTCAGTTTATTGCAAATACTGAGAGGCATTGGCGGTAAATGGTCAGCATTTGGGCGATGACACACGAATGCAATGGCAGTGGTCCACAGTTTGCACTATAGGAGCGGGAGCTGGGATACAAAACGCCGCTGCTCCTTCACGCTCAATGAGATGGCGTCAAAAATCACCGCCAGTTTGATTCAACACAAACGCTTCTGCAAACACAACAGCCACCCATTCGGCGCAGCAACAACACCAACGCTCTCTTGAATACACTTGAACTCGATTATATCTCACATCGCATGGCCACAGCACAGACCTTGGCTTTCACACATGCGCCTTTAGCCGGTAAACACCTCCCTGCACTGCGCGCACTCCACTGACCTGTGTCCTGAGACCTCTCGAGTCCACTCAGCAGCTCACCCCGGCCGCTGTCTGATTGTCACGAACTGGAAGTAACGCCGCCCGGCGACGCCTCTGCACCGCCCGCGTCTGCCGCCCCTGCCGCGACCACACCGGTACTCACAGCTGGCTGATCCGACTCCACACTGTCCTCAGCCGGCGGCGGAGGCGGCGGCGGGGACGGGGACGGGGACTTCTCCGTCGGCCCGTCCGCCGCCGGCTGCTCGTCGCCCGCCGCCGAGACAGCCTTGGTCGGCCCACTGTCCTCGCCTCTCACCTCGCCACTCTGTCCGGCCTCCCCCGCTCTCTCGGCCGCCCCCTCGGCCGTCTCTGCCGCCCCCCGGTCCGAGTCTGCCACGGCGCCGGCGCAGTCCGGGGTCGGCAGCGGCGGCAGCAGCCGGCGGTGGCGGAGAGCCGCGCGCAGCCGGTGCCGCAGGTAGCGCACCTGGTGGGCGCGCACCTGGACCCGCAGCAGCGCCATGCGGTGGGTGCTGGCCAGGCCGGCCCAGTGCGACATGACCGCCTCCCACTCGGCTTCGGACGGCTCCGGGCCGACGGGAACCCCCACCAGGTCGGCGTCGTAGAACGGCCGGCCGACGCTGGGGTCAACGGTCTGCGTGCCCACGATGGCGGACACGTCCAGACCCTCGACCAGCTCCAGCTGCCGCGCGTTGCCAGACACCCCGCTGCGCGGCGCCCTAGAGCGCGGCCTGCTCACGGGCTGGGAGGACGTGCTCGGGGCCGGCGGGGCGGTATCCGGGCGCGGTGCGGGTCCGGGCGCGGTGCTGTCTGCCGGGCCGGCCTCCTGGCTCTGCTCTCCGTCAGCGCCAGTGGAGTCGTCCTCGGCAACACCGCCGACACCGTCTTCCGCTTCTCCCGGGTCGTCAACATCAGAGGCAGCATCGCCGGCACCTGCTCCGCCATCAGCATCACCATCAGCTCTCCCCGGATCGCCAGCATCTCCGTCCGTACCGTCACCCGCCCCGGACTCCGAGCCGCCGAGCTGCTCCGGCTGGAACCCAGGCGAGCCGGGCGTGTCCTGGTCGCCCTCCTCGCCCTCTGAGACGGCCGTCTCGGCGTAGGAGACGCGCGCGCGGCTGCGGCGCGGCGGGTTCAGCTCCAGCTGCAGGGCGGCCAGGCGCGTGTCTTCGGCTCCGCGCTGGCGGCCGCTCGGCCGGCGCCGGCGCGCGGCCGACCCGCTGTCAGGGCCCGCGCCCGAGGACACGCGGCGCCGCTTGGCCCTGGACGGGCGGACGGTGAAGGTCTCGTCATCCGGATCAGAGTAGTCCGACGGTGAGTCGCTGCTGTTGCGGCGGCGGCGACGGGGTGGACGTCTGCCCGTCGACGCCTTGCTTCTGTACTCATCCTCCTCTGTCGAGGACGCTAGACGCTGGCGGCTCCCGCGCGAGCTGGCTCTCACCACCTCCTCTTCCTCTTCTTCATCCTCCTCCTCCTCAGAGATGATGATGGGCTGCTCGGGACTGCCGGAGCTCTCCCGCGCCGCCTCCTGCTCCTGAGCGACCTGCGCAGCGGGCGACCGCAGGCGGCGCCCGACCACATCATCTCCGTGAACGATGTAGGCCGCAGTGGCCACCTGCGGGTCGCGCGGGTCACCGATAGTCTCGTCCAGCGACTCGAGGAGAACCACGGCCGGTCTCTGGAGCACGGAGAGCACGTGAGCGGGCACGGGCGGCCAGCCGTCGCCGCCGCCGCCGCCGCCCGGCCCGTCGCCGCCGCCGCCGCCGCCCGGCCCGTCGCCGCCGCTGCCGCTGTCGCCGCCGGGGGCTGTGGAGCGGGCCGCGCCGGAGTTGGACGAGTTGGACCTGCGGCGCTCGCCGCCGTCTCCGGGCAGCGCGTCGGCCACCTCCTCCTGGTAGTAGTGGTCCACCACGCCGTAGTAGTGTTCGGTGGCGCTGCGCCTCGGCCGGCCGTCGTCCGAGGTCGGAGCGCCGGCGGCGGCCGTGGAGGTACCGCCCCTCTGGGGGCCGCTCCCGGGCGGCGGGGGCGGCTGGTCCGGCGGCGGATCGTCGTCCCCCGGGCCCCGGTCGCCCCAGTCCGCGCCACTCTCACTGTGTATTACACCACCAGACGCCGACTCGAACTCGCCCATCCGTAGAGAGGTGACCTCGCTCACTGTCAGCTGGCCGACGCCGAACGAGTGGGCGCGTCTGACCGCCGTGACACCAGTCGCGTTCCGGCGGACAGGAGGGAAGACACTGGCCGTCTTCAAAACCGAAGACACAAGCGGGCTTTCGTTTCTCACCGGTAACGCATTGGGAATCCTCGTGCCGACGGGTGACGCGTTTGAGATTTTCTTTTGTGCTGGCGATGTTCTGTAGGCTTTCTTCGAATGCGGCGATGCGATTTTCTTTCTGGCCGGCGATGCGTTGGGCGTTTTTCTTCTGGCAGGTGAGGCGGTCGCGGTTTTCTGAGTGGTGGCCGCGGCTGGGGTGCCAGTTCGAGCGGTCGGCCAGTGGCCGGGGTTCGGCCGCGGCGCAGAGTCGGTTTGGTAGTTAACGCGCAGCAGGGAGGCGCCCGGCGGCAGGTCGCCCAGGCCGTTATACGCAAAGGTCGACATCGAGGCTGACGAAGGGTGAGGCGAGAGCTGTGGACAGCCAGACGGAGCCTCGTGAGAGACTGCGGGACTGGGCGTGTAGGCGGGTAGGGGGGGGGGGACGGGGGAACACATGGGCAGAACGACAGTTTAAACGAGCGTAATGATTTGAACAGTAATAATTAAAGTCGTTACGCTAAAAAGATTACTTGAATTAGAAGTAACTTGCAAGATAAATAGACAAACTCTGCAAGCAAATAAAATTAGCATTGAAAAACACGCGTGAAACACGAACATGCTTCGGAACCAAAGAATAAAACTCAACATCTACACAAACAAAACAAAACGACAGCATAAGTGAGCCAAACAGGCCTACTGACCCCCAAAAATAAAAATCGACAAAATCGATGCATCAAAAACCAGCTACAAATAACCAATGGAGTGAAAAGCAAGCACACGAAACACGCAGTGCACCAAACTCATGGGGACGGAAGCAGAAAGCTGCTAAGCAAAACAGGCTAAAGCGGACCTAAAACGACCACCGGAGCGCCAGTGGATGTGTTGCCACGTGGGCGCGATTGTTCGTTCTTCCCTGTTCCGCGCCGCTGAATGGATGTGTCCCCGGGCACGTTGTCTCACAAGACAGAGTATCGTGTTATTGCCACGCGTCTCCGGCCCGGGCCTAGGTGTGAGAGCTGTCCACTCACACCCGGTAGAGGGGATATCGGATCATCAATCACCGGTAATCCCTGTCAGCGCCGGAGTGACACGCCCCCCCCCCCCCCTCCGGGAAGGGATTTCTACCTGGCGTCCACTGCGGCATTTCCATCACCCCCTGCAGTCACCGCCCTAACCTAACATCACACGGGCCGTGCGCTCCGACCTCGCCGGTATAAACGCGTGACAGCCATCACAAACCGACCCTGAGGCAGGGACCCGGCTGGCGTCGCTGGGCTAATGGGAACCGACCGGGCCGGATAATGGCCCTTTGACCGTTTGAGGTCAGTCGCCGCGTCGGCCCGCAGTCGGGTCGGGACGGGATGGGGATGGGACGGGACGGGATAGGGATAGGATGGGACTAGGAGGGACGAGTACGGGACGGGGACAGAGTGGGACTAGGAGGGATGGGAGGATGGGACGGGACGGGGACAGAGTGGGTTTAGGACTGGAGGGATGTATTGTATTGTATTGACATCAAAAGCCTTCCACATATGACGTGGCGATTACGGGGATGGGGACAGAGTGGTGTTAGGAGGGATGGGACGGGACGGGGACGGGATGAGACTAGGAGGATGGGACGGGGCGAAAAACGACATAAGAGACGGAGAAACCGGAAGGAATGGGAACGAACAGGACAAGACGAGGATTGGACGAAGACGGGAGCAACTCAGATCCCCGTGGTTTCAGTACATAACTGGGATGGCGACATCTAGTCAAGTAGTCAGCCAACGCCACAAAACTGGTCATGCCAAAGCAGCCTGCGGCTGAATGGCGTTCGACCATTCAAGGAATCGAGTTGGTGGAAACCTCTACATTGTAGGTGTTTCATGACAGCGCGGAAGACTGAAGAGTTATCACCCACTGGTGGTTTATCGATCACAGGTCGTCCGGCTGACGGTCGCTCACACACGGCCGTGAGAAGCGGCCGGCCGGGCCCCATAGCCCACGGGGGCCCCCGCTGAGCAACAGGGGGACCGGGCACGACCCGGGCCCCCTGTGGTGGGTCGCAGTGCCCCGACCCACCATTAATCACGGTGTCAGGGCCAGTGGCTATTTTACGTGCGGCTGGGAGCGCTATAGACGGCGGTGCGCTTCCCCCGTCGCCCGGCGGGGCGCCCACCCGATGATCAGCCGGTGACCAGGGGATCGCGAGGGGAGAGGTAGGGGTGGCGGTGCAGAGGAAGGGTGGCAGCGAGGAGGGGGTGGGTCGGGAATGGATGAGGGAGAGGGACAGCGTCCACCAAGAGGAAGAACAAACAGTGTCCACAGCCCAAGGACACGAGATCACCGTCGAGTCGATCTTAGGTGCCAGACGGCGGCGAAAAACAGCCCCCTCCACTGCGCCAGCCGCACCCGTGATTTATGTCCTGCCCAGCGTCCAAGCAGTACGCAGCGGCGCTGATACGGCAAAGATACGGTGCGCCGCAGGCACGAACTGCGTCACATTAGTCCCGGCAAGTACGCATTGTGAATACAGAGCTGGAGCAACGAGGGGTTGAGGGGAGAGGGAGGGATTGAGGCCGACAGGGTGGCGGGAGAGGGAGAGGAAATGGAGCAGTACACTGTGCGCATGTACTCTCTTGTGAGAGAGAAATGGGAAATGGAGCAGAGCACTGAGCGCAGGAAGAAACTCTTGAGGCAACAAAAGCGGGTCCACTCTTTTGCACCCAGTCCTACTGAATGACTGACAAAGTGCTGCCTTCGACGCTGAATCGTCAACGCTAAAAAGGTCCAATCCTCGGCAGTCACAAAGAAACACATATGGCGGCCATGCATAGGCGACAATGATTTACCAGTTCGCATCCAGCTGGCACATTGACATGAGTGTTCTATGCTTTACGCTATAATGCATGTATTCCGGGGGAAAATCACCCATCTAATATCGTCATATGTATCTTATAGCAACAAAAGACGAAAATTTCCCATGAAAGACATTTTTCGTGACTATGGGCCGGATGGAAATCGAAAATGCAGAGAAACTAGTTCAATAGTGTAATTAAAATTGCGACACTAAGCTCAGTTTATGAAATTGAGAACGAGTCGCAGTATGGGAATGATATCAACGGAAAAAGATGGGTAGTTTTGTCGAGGAAGGAACTAAATGCGAGGATGAAATAAAGAGTGACAAGAAAACTGAACCGAGCAAGCGTTTACGAAATTCCACTAAAAAATCATCGATGCTAGAAAAGAGAGTCGTTCCGATAAATGAAAACTTAAAATGCGATCGACGTAGAAACCAGAGCTTCGAGAAAACGATAGAAAATGAAATAAAATAAGACCCAGACCGTATCGAACGAATGTCAAAACTCAGCTACGAGCTACGAAAGGTCAGACGCTAGCACCGCCTTCCTCCGGATTTATCGAGCCTAGCTACAGACTGCCGACGGCGCCCATCCCGGCAGCGCGTTCCGGAGTCCTAGCCTGCACCCTGGACGGCCAGCCGGGCGGCGGACGCTGGCCGTCCTCCCACCACCTCGGACCGGCGCCGGGCCGCGCCGGGCCGGTCTCACTAACCCTGGCTGGCGGTGCGCCGGGCTGCGGCCGGCCGGCCTCCTGGAGCGGCCGCCGCCGGCAGACGGCCGCATGCGCCGCCAGCTCCGCCGAGTCGCGGAAGTGCGCCGCGCACTGGGCGCACCCCCGCTGCGCCGGCGCAGACTGACCTGACGGGCGCGCCGCGGCGGCGTCCAGCCGCGCCGGCGGCGGCAGCAGCGTCACCGGGGCGGCGCGCACCGCCACCCCGGCGCGCTGCTGCAGCTGGCGCTGACACGTGCGCTCGTGCAGCCGCAGCGCCGGCTGGTCGGGGAAGTCGCGCAGGCATGTGGCGCACACGGGACCGCACGGCCCGTCCTCGTCAAGGGCCAGGGCGCTCCGCTTGCTGGCCTGTCGCGCCGGTGAGTCGGCCGCCCGCTTGGCGCCACTGGAGGGCGAGCTGGTGTTCTTGGCAGCCGGCTTCTTGCGTGCCGGCTGGCGGTTCTGCCGCTTGGGTGAAGGCTGCTGCGGCGGCGGCGGCGTGAGTCGCTGCTGCTGCTGCTGCTGCTGCTGTGGCGGCGGCGGCATGGACTGCTGCGGATGCTGTTGCTGCTGTTGAACGGGCCGCTGCTGCTGCTGCTGTTGCTGAGGCATGAGTGGTTGCTGAGGCGCAGGCCGCTGCTGCTGCTGTTGAGGCATCGGCTGCTGCTGCTGCTGGTGCTGGTGTTGAGGCATCGGCTGCTGCTGCTGCTGCTGCTGCTGAGGCATCGGCTGCCGCTGCTGCTGTTGCTGGTGTTGAGGCATCGGCTGCTGCTGCTGCTGGTGTTCTTGTTGAGGCGCAGGCCGCTGCTGCTGCTGCTGCTGCTGAGGCATCGGCTGCTGCTGCTGGTGGTGGTACTGCTGTGACGGTGACGGTGCCGAGTGAACTGGCGAGTGGCACTGAGCCTGCGACATTGACGGCTGCATGTTCTGCTGCTGTGGCGCCCGTTGCTGGTGTTGCTGCTGCTGAGGCATTGAAGTCTGAACAGGAGCCGGTCGCTGCGGCTGCGACATCGGGACTTGTGCAGAGGACTGCGGCTGTGGTTGCGACATTGGGACTTGCACCGGAATCGGCTGCTGCGGCTGGGACATCGGAACTTGTGCAGGGGACTGCTGCGGCGGCTGGGACATTGGAGTCTGAGCGGGAGCCTGTTGATGCGGCTGCGATACCGGTGGCTGTCCGGTACGCCCCTGCGGCTGCAGCAGCTGCTGCTGGTACCACTGCGTCAGGCGCTTGTTGTGCGACAGCTGCTCCTGCTGCCCCTGTTGGCGCTGCTGCTGCCGCTGCATCTCCCTGACGGCCATCAGCTGCCGCTCGGCGTTACTCATCGGCTGTGGCGGGTACGGCGGCGGCTGGCTAGCCGCCGGCCGAGCCGCCACGCCCTGGTACAGCAGGCGCGGCATGGGCGCGGCGGGCGCGCCGCCGGGCTGCGTCCCCATCGGCCGCGGCGGGCCGACGCCGGCCGGGGTGCCGGGCATGGCCTGCACCTGCTGCTGCTGCTGACAGAGCCAGACGTATCCGGGCACCGAGCGCAGCGGCGGCGAAACAGTCACTGGGCCCACCGGCGTCCAGCTCGGAGGCACCTGGAGCACAGAGAGACACCGCGTGAGACAACACAGGGGCAGAGCCGCCCAGGGGCACCGGCAGCAAAGCTACAGACACTACTTTCCCATGCACTCATACATACGCTCCAGAACACATCAGACGGGGCGGGTTGAGCGGCCGCCGGCTTATTTGACTAGTCGGTTCGTATGGTCTGAATTGTGTTTACCATCCACCCCATTCAGACAGCCGCGCCACACCTCCCACTGTGATGCGCCATATGAGCCCAGGACGGAATATCCGGCAGTAGGGAGCAGTGAGGATTTTGGCACGGACTTGGGGCGCCTGACTGACGGAGCGAGGTCAGAGCTAACCCCACCCGCCAGCCCCTCGAGCTCGGCGGCGCTGCTTTGATAACCAGTTGTCTGACGTAGGGGAAGGGCAGTTATCACCAGGGCGATAAGAGCTCCGCACCAGGCGATGGGGCGGCCTTTTAGGCCACAGCTGATATATTGCTAACACCGCAGCAGCTGTCGGCCCCATCGCCAGGATGGGGCCTGTCAGCCCTCCCGCTGACTCGATCGTTCATCACAAACACCGCAGCAGCTGATCCCGTGTGAACAAAACACAGGAGCAGCTGATCCTTTGCGAACCAAACACGACATCACCTGATCCCGTGCGAACACAACACATCACCTGTAACATATGCAATCAGCTAAAAGTTTGGGCGTTCGTTTTGGTGTCCGGTTTTGCCCTTTACACAAATCATGAGTGCGGTTTTAATTAGTTTATGCCTACATGGTGGCCATACTTTAATTTCGACTGTCCAACACTCTGCCTTATCCTGCGCGCTCGGTCCGCTACCAGCCAGACCGTATGAACAAAACACCGCGTCAACTGATCCGGTAAGAAACTGACCGAATTGGAAAAACAATCTTGAAGTGAAGAACAATAAAAGATTGGGGATGTGTCGTGTGTTAAAACTTTCACAGCAGACAACCGGCACAAGGAGAGTCTGGAACAATTAGGACACGAGCGAGTGTGCGGAACAAAGAACACACGTTCGGCAAATACGCACTCCGGGCGCTTCCAGTCTTTGTCCAATCATGACTTTGTGACGGCGGGCAATAGTGGCAATAGTGCTTATCTTCACAGCTGCCACGTGGCAAACAAATCGATCCACCCCCAATCATAGACCATAAACAAATCACACTGATCGATTGAACAGCGGCCATAAAGCGAGTTAACACAAATGACGGCAATAAAACTGCCGGCGACAGAACCCGCCGCTACCGCCCGCGCTCACGCCAGGCGTGTGATACGGGGCTCAAATGACTGACAGAGTCGGAGTCCCGCGTGTGTGACACACATGTCGGAGAAGATAAACAGCCAGCCATCCAGAACTGAGAGCACTAATTATGCAGCCAGCTGGCCGGAACCGTGAGCCGAATTGGCGCCATAAACCACTCACGGGATTGGGGCGGACTGATGAAAGCGCGCTGTGTGTCACAGAGAGACGGTACATCACCGTCCCCTCCTCCAGGGCCGGTCGGTGACTCGGTACAGCCCGGGGCCGTGCGATGGTCTGTGACGGTCCGCTCATTGACTGTCAGATGAGCTGGTCCTGGTCCCTGAGCGTACGACCATCCCAGGCCGGCCGAAATATTAGCACGCGGCGCAGTGGCTAGGGCTGCTGTTTCGGCCATGGACAGGCTGTTCCGCTTTCCACCATGTGTCCTTCCTCTCTCATCCTCATCGTTCTAGACTAAATAGCCCCGTCTGGGTTTATAGGCACTGGCCGCCTCGCTGTCCAGAAAAACCGCTCCGCAGTCAGGCGCCGATTAGGGAGCACATTTGTGAAACTACCAGACGTCACCAGGAGTGATGGCCACGGGGGTGAGCACAGGTGCCAGCCATCGCTCAACGCACAAGACAAGTCGCACGCTCATTTACAGTGGGGAGCGAGCCCTGATGGGCAGATAACGTTACGGTCCGGTGACAGACACAGTGCGCCTTACGGCAGTCGTTCCAGACGCTGTCACAGTGCAACAGATGCACGGCAGCTGACAAACCATTGCACACACATGAGGGAGTATATTCGCGACGCCGACGTAATCAAGCCAAGAGGCAAAGTCTAAGTCAAATGGAATCGACATTCCTCACGAGAATTTATTTTATCACAAAGTCTCCTTAGGAAATCAGCCTGAGTACTACCCGATTACGATCACTAATTAGGGGAGGGGGGGGGGGGGGGTTGGGCGCCCGGACTTCAGTGGTCATCGGCGTACGATCACTAATTCACGAAGAAGAAATGTCAGGTCATACCTATACCACTGTCGAACAAACTGAAACAGAGCAATCCTGTGGCGGAAATAGCACCAATATCGGAATTAAAAGACGAATCGAGGAAATTCTTCAAAAACCTAGATTACCTAAGCCTTTTCACTCCGCAGGACCGTCCTAGCAAAGCCGCACGAGTCTCTGCGGAGCAAGGACTTCAGCAGCAGGTTCCACAAGTGACCAATGGAGGCGTCAGGATCAGGAATTCAGGACCTAGAACAGCTAACGCGCCTGGGACCCAAGAGTACAGCAGTCAAAAACACCAGCATGAAGCCATTCACACGTGACAGGTGTCAAACCGATGACGGTTGTTGACATCGGAACGCCAGCATGATCACTCTGATGAAGCCTGAGCGGCAGCAGCAGCGAGGAGCCAGGGGTCAGGCCATGTCAGCATTCTACAATGCAACAATCCGTCAGTCTGAGCTGGGGTCAGCGCGGCATTCACCTAGCTCTCCGGAAGAGTCTTCTCGTGCTACACCCGCCGCCAGCGCGGACCCTTTCAATGATGCGGGCCACAGGCGGCAACCGCAGTCCCAGACTCGTCAGAGCCAGTGGCTCGGTAGGTGGTGGGCCTCGCAAGGTCTCAACCGTTTTAGCGGAAACAGTCAGAAACAAGGGAAACACTGATGGTCGACAGCAAACAGTTTCTAGAATTCGTTCGAGCATTTCAAATCAGACTCTTTTCCGGTGATTCTTTATTCGCGCGCGCGAGTACGGACCGAAAAAAAGCATTGAGCTCGCACCCGTCCTGGAGACAACTCATCCATAATGTATGAGTCAGCGACACCGGCGGCCGCTCGGTGCGCTGGCCCTTGGCAGACAGGCATACCTACCACGAAAGGCTCTCGGTCTGTTTCGTGTCAGCTAAGAGTTCCGAGGTGACGGTGTAAATGTACGGCGTCTGGCCGGCGTCACCACACGTTTTCTAGAGATAAGAAGCGCTCCATCGCGCTTGCTAAGTGCTAAGTGCCGTCTAATGCTCTAGTCGTGTCTTCTGAAGCGGCGCTGAACAGTGAATGCGGTCGCCACGTGATCTACCGTCACAAGACCTGCGCGTGGCACCACGGTTCATGTGACTTCTGGCAATGATATGTATGCAAACATATTACGAGCTATTCCAGTATTACCGTCAGACGGGTCATATCCTGAGCGCTGAGCAGAGCTTTCGACCAACATAAAAAACGCAGCCCTTATTGAAACCGAACACCAACTAATCTGCCCAGTGACAGGGAATTGAAGCAGAATTCCTCTTTTTTTCGAGTCACCCCGGCAGGGCCTAAAAACAGAAACACGCCTTGCCCTTAGGGTAAAAAAGCGGTCATTTGATCGGCGTGGGCCCTTCCAGAGGCCAGTAAGGGGCACCACGGGAAACACGCGTGGAGCACCGAGAGGTCGGCGAGTCGGCCCCTCAGAGGCCAGCATGGGGCACCCCAGGAGGTCGGCCCGTGGACTGAGGAACTTTGAACCCCGGGAGGCCGACGTGGGGTAGCGAAAACAAATGTGCCCCTTGAAAGACCGGCGTGAGGCACCCCAGAGGCCAGTGCGTGGGGGCACCTCCTCACAGAGGCTAGCGTGGGAAAACTCTGGGAGGCCGGCGTAGGGCACCCCTAGAGGCCCACGTGAAACGCTACAGGAGGCCGGCGTGAGCCCTGAGCTCCCGACGTGTCGACCCTCAGGGGGCCAGCGTGGGGCACCTCATGAGGCCCGCGTGGGCAGTGTCAGAAAAGTGGCCCGTTTCTAAGTTTTCTTGAACTCGGAAGATTTGTTCTGCGAAAAGTCTTGACTAAAGAAAAGCAATTTTTGTTCTGTGAGCAAACGTTCCGTAAACAGATGATTTCTGAGCAACAAAGTACCTCTACCCATCTATGTCAGCATTATCAGGCTTGATGGAGCATTTCACAATGGGTCACTTAATAAAAACCCAACTGCCTACCCATTTTGACTGATTTTTCTTCTTCAGCAGATTAAGTCATCTCTCTCCAGTCTCCATGGCTACTGAATGAAGACCTGGACTCCTGAATAGAATGCAGTACAAACTACTGACCTACTCCCAAGAACCAGCACCGCCTGCTACTCTTGGTTCACCAGCTGACAGCTGTTGGCAAAACTTTCACTGGTATTAGATTGATAGATATAACTGGTATTTGATCGGCAGCCTGAAGCCCATAAACTGTGATGTGTTATGAACAGGTGATCTGTGAATTGTGATCACACAGTGTGTGCATTAACAATTAATCCTGTATTTTATAATACAAATGTTGAAAATTTTGTCACTCTTTTAACATCTGGTTCAACACGTATGATATGAATGAAGGACTACACAGCATGCAGGAGCTGGAAATGGGCAATGCCCCAATGGATATGCAAACTTAACGTAATCAGGTGAGATAAACCTGAAAGGCTTGATTAATTTACACGTACACTGGTCTGAGAAACAACACTACCAAGCTAGTGAGTAGTAAATGGGCAATGCCCCAAATGGATATGGAAACTTTACGTAGTCAGGTGAGATAAACCTGAAAAGCTCAGCTTGATTAATTTACATGTACACTGTTCTGAGAAATGACACATATACCAAGCTAGTGAGTAGTACCTAAATGCTATCAGAAAATTATGGGTACTGGATAAGCATATTACCCATAATACATATATCTGCACAACCTATCCTACCTAATATATACCTAATAATCACATTCTCACACAAATCAAACGAAGGTACCAAACAAATCACAAAAATAACACGCGAGTCATGGGAGACGAGTCATAAGCCTTGGCCTTTTGACGTCTAAAACACTGTCATCGCCGCACCAACAAGCTCGCTCCCCGCCCGGCTCCCTTCATAACGCAACCGGGCGCAAACTTTTTCTGAGTTCTCGCAGAACATATTTGGTGTTTCCGTGGTGGCAGACTATCCCCTGGTAAAAGTTCCCAATTGCAGTAAAGTATGAAAAAATGATATCAGTAGATGTAAAAAAGATTTTTCTTTTCAAAAATGTCAAAATTTAGCAATTTTATAACGTGTGATGCCCATATTTTACGATAGTCTGCGGGGTCGTTCCGTGCCTGCTAAGGTCAGCTTCACTTGGATCGTTTAAGACACCTAGACATCATTCATTGCAAAACAAGGTATGGCTAGAATGGAAATTGATTGGAAAAAGTTATAGAATAGTTTTTGTTTCGTAAAAATGAGCAAAAAATGCGTATGGGGATAATAAGTGACAGCGTCCTTTGAGGTATCACCTTTTTGGTGCCGGCATAAGAGAACTTGGACGAATTTATGGCAAAATTTTTGTGAATGATATTAAAATGAACAAATTAAACAGTTATTGTCTTTTTGATGCCCTTTTCCCATCTGAATTACACAAAAAAATGACTTTTTTATTTTTCTCGAACTCATGGCAGTAAGATATCTTAACTTGTAATAAATCGATCGAAGGCATTATTTTGTGCTGCATATTATTCATTAAATTTTGTATTAAAATAAATTGAACATCAAAATCGTTTTTGTCATTCGGCAATGAGCTTAACTAGCAACAAATACTTTTTAAAAAATAAATACATTCTCAGACTAGGCAGCGCTGTCTGGCGTGTCTCCCGCGCTTTTACGCGACTGCGCCGGAGGGCTGTTCACGGGCCCTGTGTGCGGTCGGACCGCACACAGCCTCCAAGCTCCGCCCACTGCGTCCCTACGTCAGCCTTCCGTCACCGCACACAGCGATCGCTGTGGCCGGTCGGGACTGGCCACAGCGGACCGTCCACCGCACGCAGCCGTGACGTCAGAACCGCCTACCCATCCCCTACCCCCACGCCTGCTGGACGCACCGCACACAGCGCACGCAGCAGTGTGCGGTGCCCGTGAACACCCCTGGGTTAGTCTAGAAATTTGCGTGAGTTATTGTAAAGAAGCATAATTTCGTGGGGTAATTTAATAGTTAGATGTTTATGTGCAATATTCTCGTTTTTTCATACTCAACAATATGATTTTTGTTTAAAGGCTGAGATACTGAGACTCATTCGACTTCGACCATCTTCGTTCAAGGAATCTGAGGTGGGATTGTTCATTTCTATTTTTGTAACAAGCTCAGGTAATGGTAATACTTAACATAAACCATGTGTTTCAGTTTGTCTTAACTTCTCCCCTTCTTGATTATACCTTCACTTCTACCTAGGCTAAGAAAGTGATATCCAAGGGTAGCTGCTTTCACATTAGTAGCCTTCTGGTGGGTTCAGATTGTTTTCTTGCATTTAGTTATATGTTCTTGGATTTCCCTTGTTAAAATTAGGCAAATGTGAATATTGATATTTATATAGGTATGCATCATTATACTTGAGCAATGGCAATGTAGGCTAGGTACCTGCCTATTTAGTAGATACAAGATTGCATGGGGATTCATTTAGCAGGCGTCTCACGAGATGCCAGATCTGAAACATAATCTAACCTGACCTAACCTTACCTACTAGCCTACAACCTACAAGCCTAACACCTACAACCTACAACCTACATTGCTATCGTAGACAGATCTGGCATCTCGTGAGGTGCCTGCTTAATGATTATCATTGCATGTTGGTCATGTGCAGGTGTTTCACTTTGATATGTGCTGCATTTCAACAATCTCTACCCATTATGCTAAAAAGAAACTGATATAATGCAGTAGCTTCATGAAAAATTTGGAACCATAGCTATGTTCCAACTTTGTTCTGCGACCTTTTCAAAATTTTAGTCTGCGAACTTAGATCCCCAAACCACTTTTCTGACACTGCGCGTGGGGCCCTCGAGGATTAGCGTGGGGCCCTCAAGGCCTTACGAGACCGGCAGGTGTTCTCAGCAGCCCAAGGGGCTATGGGCATAGGATTTCTATGGATGGTCATTGAGTGGCAGAGCGCACTCCGCTCTTTGCGCCCTCTCGGCAGACCGTAGCGTACTTTATTTTTGTACGGAAATGATGTTCGCATTCCCAATTTTTGTAAGCACGTGCACCTGCGCACCATGCGGTACGCATTTCTTATTCTCCTGACACTGCCTTTCATCACTCGAATATCTAATGCTGCTTTAAACAGCTAAGATACCGATCCACCAAAACATTGTGGATCGTTGTGCTGTCACCTGACTGCAGTCCACGTGACGGCTCTGACGGCCCCGCTACCGCTGCCAACGGCATACACTGCTTCCCGTCAGAGACAGCTCGGCGGAACTGTGTCACTGATAAGGCGGTGGACACTGCGGGTTACCCCCGGCGTTCCCCGCTGGTTTCGTCCGAGAGACGGTGGCGATTTGCACGAAATTGAGGGTAAGCGAGTTCCTGGAACACTTAAACGGAACACCAAAGACGGTACTGAAGTCTGAACTGACGTTCTGTGTTCCTGTGCTCGGTTTGTCCTAGTAAGAAAAGGTGAGAAGGTATTCAAGGATTTACTATAACAATAATTGGTTACGGGTTAGCACGGACTTACGCAGAAAATATATCAACCTATCCATCTGTCTGAGTGATGTGGGTGTAACTGCATATCGCGGATTTACCCCACGAACACACAAGTTGATTTTGTTCAATACGATCAGGGATATATGTAAGAGTCACTGCACCATGGTAGCACACATTATTACACGAGACGCTTGGCACTGTCGCAATTGTCTGACACACAAATTGAAGGAAACGTCCTCCCTGCCAGGTCACCGCACTCTCTCCTCAGCCACTGGCTAAGTGGCAAGTACTGACCGTCATATATGGAAAGCCCATCTGCTGGTGCGTCATCCCTCCGGGCTGAAACCCGCCGTACGTCTGCTGCTGCACTGCCATCTCTCGCACTCCCACAGTCCTCCGGGGCACTCACAGGGACACTCACCCGGTCACTCAAACACGTGACACGCGCGCTCCAGCGGCGCGCCCGCTTCCGTTCACACCGGCCCGCCAACTGGCTGCCGGCCGGCGTGCGGCGTGCGCTCAGCGCTGCCCGCAGCCCGGTCAGCGCGCCGTCCCCGTCCCAAGGCCAAAGGTGTCAAGAGGGGTGCGGGTGGGCGACAGGTGCCCGGGGGGAGGGGGGGGGGGTCAGGGCAGGAAGGCGAGGAGTGATGACTTCCAGAGGGAGAGGGGAGGGGAACAGCCGGCCGACGGGTTCATGACCTCACGGAGGAACGAACACGGGGCAATTATGGGTCTGTTATGACGAATATAACAAAACAACGTGAGAGTAAATAAAATATCGCTTCGGTCTGCTCTGAGCGGCTAATCGGTAAGTTTTGTGTATGCATAGAAAGAAAACTCATCACTTCCAGCATTGCACCACGCCGCCGGAACAGAGAACCCGTACCTGACCGAGAAACAATACATGTTGAAGGACAAACATGGTGGTGGGTATGATCGTACCTGAGATTAAAAGCATACATCATACGATAATGAACGTGGCACAGGTCGATAATGAACAGGTCGAAGGTTAGATCTAGTGAAAAACCTTTATGTGGGATCGATAAACAACTCATAATGTGAAACCCGTTTATGCGAGATCGGTATAAAAACTGCATGCTAAGAGCAAACATGACGGTGTGTGTGTGGTATATAAGGGTGAACCTTCAGAACACCCGGCACTCTCTCACTGGTCTGAATCACGGCGTACCGTGTTCCGAGCCGGCTATCCCTATTCCCTATCATTTCCCCATTATTTCCCCATCATTCCCCATTTCCCCATATCATATTCCCCATTATTCCCTATCCCTATTCCCTATCATCATATCATCTATTCCCTATCATTTCGGGGCAAATATTCAAATATTGACATTTAATGATTTTGGCATGTCTGAATATAACCCATTGCACGTGTCTTTGTGCGATAGTGTGACGAAGGGAAAAAAGTGTTGGACGGAGATCAGCGGGGCATGTGAACTATAAACACGACACGGTGAAGCAGCAGAGACGTTATCCACGAGTCCCCTAGACGCAACTATACACTGCAGACAACAGCTGGGTGCACACATGGACCACTTAAATTACAGCCGCACGCCAGCGCAAGTAAGCTGGCGACACACGAAAAAGCAATATTTTATTTCATTAAAATAATGCAGTGTATAGTACGTTGTGGGTTTGGGCGTCAAGTTTCTTTGTATCCGATGTTTAGTTTAAGTTGGATATGCTTACGAGGTAACCGTATTTTATCTCCAGTCTCCACCGGTTACCACTTATAAGCTCTACTCTGTACCGCCTCGTCTCGGGGGCGGGCTCTCGGTCCGCGGCCACCCACAGCGACATCTTATAGTCACTTTTCGAATCACAGCACGGCCGGCGGCCGTATCAGCTCACACGCTCCGCAACTTAGAAGGGCTTTGGTCTGCTGGCGGGCAGCCGCGCCCTTTGGAATCATGCACACCCGCCCAATGGAGTTAGTCAAGCTGAGCTGCAAACTTTACACGCACTGACACTAGCCAGCTAAACGTCCCGCATCTCCCTAATGTCCTTTATCTTGCAAGAACACCGCTGCGACCGACGCCCAACATGACGAGGTTGGTGCGCGATGCTCCGAGGTCATCTGACGCTCCATCATACGCTAAGATTTCCAACCAATCGCGCGTGTTGTCTCTGTATGTCACCGACAAAAGGTCTTCAGCGAATGAACGGCGTCATCGGGCTGCCGGACCGACCCGCGCTACCGCTGTGCCGCCGTGATAGCCGACCGGCCGCCGCACCGCCGTCACCCTATCCAGACTCAGGATGAGTTGTGAGGCATTGTGCCGCGAGCAGACGGCCGGCGGTCGGTAACGCGTGCCGCCGACGCCGCGCTGCCGAGCCGCAGCAGCGCCGCGGCCGCCACTGAGACCGAGATATAAATTAAAGACATGTCGTTTTAAGGCACGTAGGCCGCCAAGCTGGCGCCTTCAGCCACCTCTCCGCTGCAGTGCAAGTTCGCACTCGTTTTGCACATGTCTTAAGCACTGCGTATAAAATGTGGGTCACGTACGACCCCCGCCAGAGTCTTCCTTGACCGTCGCGCTGTGCGCACGGACTGATCTGCGCCCCGCTCGTCGCCTCGCTCGGCCGAGCGGGGACAGAAGATAGAAGCACTGGCAACCCGTTGCGTTGGACGCGCGGACTGACTCTCCTGCTCGCTGTCGCGCCCGGCGGGGCAGTGTCAGTGCTTTACAGACGAACCGGTGTTTTCGCGCTACAGTTCAAGTGAATTGTGCTCCGTGTGTTCGTGTTTCATCTTTACCGGTCTTCTTTGCAACTGCTCCTGCTTATATCTACTTCGCGTATGCTTCAATAAATCCTCTACGGGAAATATTCACGTCCATCTACAACTGAAAATCGCCGAATATCACAAACCCAGGAGGTCACATAGCAGGCGGGCGGGGTACGAATGTCGCACAAACTCACCGAATACAGTCCACATCCAACCAGAAAAGAACTCCGAGCGACAGTTTGTCAGCGACACTGTACATTAAAGAAAAATAGGAAATGCTGAGCCACAAGGTAGAGAACGTAGTAGCACGCCGATCGTAAACTGTGCAACTTGTTAGGAGCTGGGTATACAAGTACCAAACAAGACAAATGCCAAAACGATTAGGCTGGAAATAATGCCTACCTAATTCGTCTTGGCTTGCTATTGGCACGCCGTAATCTTGGCAGACCGTAACATATCTAAGGTCACATTTGTGTTATAAAAAATAATTAGCAACACAAAACGGAAAAATTCCATAATTTACCCTTCATCTACAAATAATCGAAACAATCATCAATCCATAAAATGTCCTGCCTATCAATTTCAGACTGCTAAGTGCTACGCTACCCACTCACTCAAGATCGCTGCTCTCGTACATACCTAATTGTTGTCGACTAACCCCATGAAGTTTGTGATAAATCGATGCCCGACTTTCGTCGGCGGCGGAACACTGTGCAGGTGTTCTCTCCACCTCCCCAACGACCCAGTGGCGCCTGTTTTCCACGCGCCCGGCGACCGTCCTCACCATTCCAACGAATACCGTCCGCCCGCCACCGGTGGCGGCTTCGACTGCCATTGGGCTCCTGTCTCCTGGCTATGACTCTGTTTTTCACCGCTTCCCCTTGCCCACGAGCCGACCCTGCTCGCGGTAACTACACCTGGGTCATAACGGCGGCTGACAGCATTCCGTAACGACGAGCACAATGCACTAGAGACGAGCCTCTGCCTTTCCTCGGGCGCTATCGGCCGAACTACTGGCGCCAGCGAGGGTGGCTGTTTACCAGGCTGACCCGGGGGAGGGTCCCCTCACACGGTCACGGGCAGTCCCTCGGAACGATGGCCACGGTAAGCTCTGGTCGCACCTGCCCACAGCCGTAGCACCGCACCAAACACGAATCCTATCCCGAAAAGGAACCACCTCAGTTTGTTTTTCAATAGAAAAACAAAATTCCAAAGAATAGTGTTGGTCTACATAATGAAGAAACAACCTTCGGGTATCACCTCTACGGTGGGTCCTCCCGTCAGCGGCGATACACATCTTCAGAGGGGCTCCAGACCATCTCCAGTTTTTTAATGGCCTTTCCTTTATGTGCCGCGCCCGCATTGTGAATGTTTTAAAAGAATTAAATACTGATCATGTTGATGGTCAATTCTAAATACATTTCAGTCGCTGTAGCCCCACTTGCTCACGTCAGTGACCGGCCAAAACCAAAGCACTGGTATTTGAGCGATCGGACAGGACACTGCTTACAACATGCAGGGAGATGCAAGTAAGGGCTAGACACAAACAATATGTAATTGAAAAAACCATCGATACATTGCGGACTACACGACTTGCCATGCACTTTGCACATTGCACAGGACATCAAAATGATCGTTAAAAAACTTTAAAGTTTATAAAACCAATTTCACGTCTTGTGACTTCAAGGCTAATAATTTCATTGCTACAGATTCACTCAAGCACAAAAGCTGCCGAACAGACACTGTTGAACCAAGTGATCACTAACTGCACGACTTACAAAACACGACTTACCTCCCTGAGATGCAAATCTGCTGCGACTCACCAAACGCTTCTCTGTCCTCCGCTTTGGCCTGATGTGTGACAATTATACGACAATCTTCCACCACACGATCTGAAACAGGCGAAAGTAAATTAGACATGATCGGTACCAATTCAGTACAAAACTGAGAACGTCACGCTGCTAGGTTACATGTGCTGTTCGACAAGACTGAATGAGAACTGACTGTTGTGAGAGCCGCTGTGCAGGCCAATCAGGCGACAGACCGTCAACCACAACCTTGAGATATACCTACGTCAAATTTGTAAGGTATGTATTGGGATATAAACTTATATAAAAATCACATATCGTAAATCAATTACCGTACTGGAAATGAACACTGCCTACACGACAAATATGGCGACACCTGGCCGGATAGGTAATGGTGTTACGGAATAATCAATACCTACTCCACAGGTGGGCACGAGGACGCGAGGGAGGGACGATACAGCCAGATCACTACACACTGTTAAGAGAGGTGGCTAAAATCGTTCTAGCCAGCGTTTCTAGTAGCCAACACGGCAGAAGGGTCGGATGGGTGGCTAGGCAGCTCGGGCCCGCCTGGCCACGGCGCCGTGTATCTTCCGCACACACCTGTGCGTGACACCCGACACCCCCCCCCCCCCCCACACACACACAGATACGGACCTCGAGCGGGGCATCCATTGTCTATAGGGGCGTCCCCAGGGCAGTGTGTGACAGCCAGCCGCGACTGTTTGGCTACTGATCCAATAACCTGTCCTACCTGGCCACCTGAGCACACGAAACACGGCCCGTCGCCAACCGGCCCCATCCGTATCTTTTGTTGGCCG